ATTTTAACATTTATTTATTTTCTCTTAGTTCTCGGCGGACACAACATCTTTGTTGGTATGTGGTGCTGGTGAAGATCGAACCCAGGCCGCACGCATGCTAGGCGAGCGCGCTACCGCTTGAGCCACATCCCCAGCCCCTTTTCTTAGTTCTTGTCAGACACTACATCTTTGTTTGTATGTGGTGCTGAGGATCGAACCCGGGCCGCACGCTCGCCAGGCAAGCGCACTACTGCTTGAGCCACATCCCCAACCCGGAAGAATTTTTCTTAATTTCCTTTTTGCATTGTAACTTGTTTTTATCTCATATCCTGTTATCTTGTTGAACTTGTATATTAGTTCTAAAGTTTCACCATTGAGTTCCTTGGAGTTTTCTATATATAAGATCAAGTAATCTGCAAATAGAGATAGTTTTACCTCTTCCTTTCCAATCTGGATGCTTTTTCTTTTTCTTGCCCGTACCCCTGCTGGAACCACCTGTACAATATTGTACAGAAGTGGTGAAAACATAGTCTTACTTCTGATCTTTGAAGGAACATAGCCAATCTTTTTTGTTTTTTAATATCTTAATTTTTTAGTTGTAGATGTACACACAATATCTTTATTTTATTTTTGTGGTGCTGAGGATTGAACCCAGGGCCTCACATAGGCTAGGTGAGTGATCTGCAACCCCAGGGAGCCACAACTCCAGCCCCATAGCCAATCTTTCAACATGATGTATGATGTTAGCTACATGTGTTCATAGATGCCCTTTATTGTATTGTGGAATTTCCCGTCTATTCCTAGTTTGTTGAATGTTTTTGTCAGAAAGGATATTGATTTTGTTAAAGACTTTTCCTCCATCTATTGAGATAATCCAGTGGTTTTTGTCTCTTATTGTTTTCTATAGTGTGTTAGATTAGTTAACTTTCAAATGTTAAATTAACCCTCCATTTCTGAGATAAATTCTACTTAGTCATGATGTACAATTCTTTCTGTATGTGTTCTAGTGCTCGTTGAGAAATTTAACATCTTTATTCATAAAGAGATATTGGTTCATAATTTTGTTATGGTGTCCAGATTTTCTATCAGAACCTCAGAGATTGAATTTGGATCATTCTTATCTTACCATCTCCCATCTTTTTTCTTTTTTATGTGGTGCTGAGAATCAAACCAGTGCCTCACATGTGCAAGGTAGGGACTCTGCCACTGAGCCACAGCCACAGCCTCAACCATCTGCTATCTTGACCAAAAGTCTCCCTCTAGCCTCTTACTCCTCTTATACCAAAGTTTCTCCCAAGAGGTGTCTGCATACTGTATCTCCTGCCTTACTCACCAACTTGGCTACTGCCCCAATCACTCCAATGACACCAGTCTTGTAAAGGCCCCTGTGTGTTCAACATCTTACCAGCACTATGTGGCTACTTCTCAGGTCTCATCTTGCTTAATTTCTCAAAAGTGTCTGACACAGTTAAGTTTCCTCCCGACCATCCCCTTTTAACATTTTTGGTTCTCTTCAGGACACCCAGGTCTCTGTTTTTCTGCCAATCAGCAAGACATGCTTCCTTCTCTGAAGTCTGTAGAGCTTGCAAACTTGAAGATGCAAGAAAGATCCCCTGGGATCTTGTTAAAATGCAGGTTCTGATTCAGCAGGTCTGAGGCAGAGACATAGTCTGAACATCTGATAAGCTTCTGAGTGATGATAATGCTGGTGGACTAGAGACCATTTTGAAAAATGAGGCTACAGATTCTCATATTCTGGATTTGTCTATCTGCTACCCAGAGATGTCATTCTATTTGTTCTTCTCTCTATATATTTCCTGTATGTAACTCCAGTGGTCCCTAAACTTGATTAACATTAGAATAATCTAGGGGGCTTTTAAAATCCTATGCCCAGGTCATATCCCAGATACATTAAGTTAGAGTAACTGCAAGTAGAGCCCAGGCATCAGAATTTTAAGGCACCCCAATGACTCTATCATGCAACTAAGATTAATAATCTAAACCTTATTTCTCAAAATGTGTTCCAGAGTCTGGCAGCACTGGCATCATCTGGGAGTTTATTAGAAATGCAAAATCCTGGCCCTAACTCAGACTTACTGAATCAGTATCTGCATTTTAACAACATTTACATGTAGATATCCTATGTGTGTTAAAGTTTGAGAAGTGATGATGTATGTGCTTATGGCTCCCAAATATTCATTTCCAGCCTCCTTACCCAACTATCACTCTGGCACATCCCAAACTTAATGTGTCCCATACTGATATCCCTGCTTAACTTATTCCTCTGAATGCTATTCAATGGTACCACCATTCCTAGTCACTCAGGCCACAAACCTAGGAGTCATTTCGAAGTCTACTATGACCCTCACTCTCCCAATTAAGCCATCAACTAGTCCTGTTGACTATTTCTAAATCCATACCAAATGCACCCATTTCTTTCACCTGCAGGCCAATGCCCCAATAGATGTGCTCTCTTTACTAGATACATACCCATTCCTACCTTCCAGTCAGTTCTCCCTCTATGGCCAGAGAGAGCTTTTAAAATTATAAACTAAATTCAGGGCTCTACGCCTGAAATTTTTAATTTTTAATGGTATCTCAAACTTAAAATCAGCCAGAGTCTTCCCTTTAAACAAAACTCGTACTACTATCAGTTCCAGTTATGTTGTTTAGGAAACATACCAAGTTTACTACAGTCTCAGAGTCTTTGCACTTGCTCTTCCCTCTGCCTAGAACTTTCTTCCTCCAGGTCTCCCATGCTGTTCATTCAGGTCTCTATTCATCACTCTGATTAATGCATTTTTAGCAACTACCAATATCTGAATTAACCTATTTCGTTTCTTTACTTCTAACTTGTTTCTCCCCAAAGAAATGAGAGATTTTGTCTGTCCTGCTCACTATTGTGTGTCTGGCATCCAGGGCAGAACCTGGCACATGGTAAATGCCCAACAAATATCAATTAAAGGGGAATAAGCGGTAAGTTTTTACAAACCTGGACTCTGAGGCTGGCTGCCAGGATTCAGGGTCCCTCGAAGAAACAGCCAGACGCAGATTCCAATTCCCGTCTCAATGACAACTTGCTGTGTGACCTCGAGCGAGAGCCTTAACTTCTGAGTCAACTATCCCATCTGCAAAGATTAGGGAGTGAGGCAGCTAGCACAGGACTGCAACCTTTCCCGGCACGTACCCGCCCCGCACCCCAAGAGGTCATAGCGCCCTGGCCTTGCAGCCGGGTCTCTCTGACGATGTCCTTCCGCGCTGCCAAGCCCGGAACTGAACGCCCGGCATCCCAATGGTTCGGGTTCGCCTTCCCAAGCGAGAACTACCTGCTCAGGCAGCAGGCCGAGGACCCCAGGCCGGCTCCGTGTCGCTGCTGGGCGCCGCCATGTTGGCCCAGAAGGCTTCCGGGTCACGGTCCTCCGGAAAGACAGCAAATCAAGAAAGCAGATTTAGCTGGTCCCCGCCCACTAAGTGAGAATCACCAATAGGAAAGAGGAAAGGCGTTGGTCCCGCCTCATAACAAGCCAGGCCACGCCCCTAACCTTTAAGCGGGCGCCCAAGCCGGGAAGGAAGCGGGTGTTGCGCTTGGAAGTTCTGTGAGGCTGCGGGAAGCCTCGTTCTCCCACCTGAAACGCGGAGAGGAATTATTAAAGTTGGAAGAGACGCGGATTCCTTCGTTCACTCAGCAAACGTTGAACGCTTATTGTATGCCAGGTGCGTTCTGGGATCTGCGGATTCGATGATGACGTTAGTGAAGAAGACAGACTGATAACGTAGCGCCGTGACTGGGCCAGTGTTTAACCCATATGTGCCTCGATTTCCTCACCCATGAAATGGACAATTACAAAACACTTGCAGAGGTTTTTTTTTGTTTGTTTGTTGTTGTTTTGTTTTTGAGACAGCAAGAATTCCTGGACTCAAGTTGTCTTCCCATCAGCCCTCCCTGCTTTAGTAGGATTTCGCTACTGGGTGAGGAACCAGGGCCCTCCACGTGCTAGGCAAGCCCTCTATCCCTTAGCCATATCCCCAGCCCTGTGACTGTGTTTTGAGTGCCCATGTGATCTCTCTGTGTGTTTGTGTCCGATCCCCACGGTCTACACAGGGCTGCTAACCCTAAACGTATGTGAGAGATACCCTCTGAGTCTCCTGGTCTGCACCTCTGCTCCTGATATCCAGCTAATCTCACTTCGGGGTATGGTGATATTGAGATGGTACAGCTGGCATCTGCCTCACTGGCTACAGAAGCCAGGCAGTAGGGCAGAGGAGAATCCTGGGGTGTGGACATGGCGACAGGAGGATGACCACCTCCTGTTCCTCCCTGTGGTGCCTCCTCCTCCTCTAGTTCTGGGCCCTGATTTCATCTTATACCAAATAAGCTCCTGCAAATACCCTGGAACCAGGCAAACTCCAGGAGCCAGAGTCCCGGTAGTAGGAGGATGCGGGGCTGGAAGGTGGGGTCATGCCGAAGGGGCGGGGCCTAACTTGCCCCTGCCCCCTCCCCAGGTTTGCTCCCCCTGGCCATCAGTACTCTCATCTGGTGGCACCTGCTCTCCGTGGAGACAAGCATCCTCAGCCTTTAAGAGTGAGCTAGGTGCTTGAATCTTAAGAACTATGAGCTAAATAAAACTTTATAAAATAAAGTCACCCAGCCTCGGGTGTTTTGTCATAGTAAAAGAAAATGTGTGGGCTGGGGTTGTGGCTCAGTGACAGAGCGCTTGCTTAGCATGTATGAGGCACTGGGTTTGATTCTTAGCACTGAATATCAATAAATAAAATAAGGGTCCATTGACAACTAAAAAACATTAAAAAGGAAAGAATGAAAGAAAATTGGTGATTACACCCAGCCAAGGCAGAGGCAGATAGAGGAACTTGGCCTCTCTGTGTCAGTCCCCCATCTATCCTGGTTCAAGCTTTCTAGAGTGGGGGGTGGTGAGCCATTTTCTCATCTCTTGAACTATGGCTCAGGCTTTTGGTTACCTACTCTATGATAGGTGGACTCCTGCTGGGTGAGTGGGCCAAGGGGTCCTATTCATTCAACCTCACTTCTGTCCCCTGCCTCCCTCCAGACCCAGTGCTGATTCTCTGCAACAGAGGGACCACATGTCCATATTGCCATGAAGTTTCTCTCTTTGCCTGTGACTACGGTATATAATGATCCCTGAAGATGCTATCCACCCATTCACCCACCCACATGCATTGGACATTTGTTGTGTGCTTGGTTATGCTGTTCTACTTTTGGAGCCCAGAAGAACTGGGTTGTAATCCCATTCCTGACCCTTACTAGCTGTATGTCCTCAAACATCTGACTTTCTCTTGCTGAGCCTCAGTTTTTGCCTCTGTGCAATGGGAATAACAAAGTATCTCAAGAAACTGTTGTGAAAGGGAGACAAGGTCATACAGGATTAGTATAGTGCCTGCTACATACTTGGTGCTCAATAAGTGGAGTTATTTATTATCCTAATATATTCTTTTCACAGCGCTTACTATTTACCATAAACTCTGAGAAGAAGAAGGAATTTTTTTATTTGTGTGATGCTAGGGATCAAATCCAGAGCCTCCATGCTAGGCAAGGTAATTGTTATAAAAATGAATAAATGAGGGTTTGGGAATTTAGCTCAATGGCAACATGTGTAATGCAGCCCTCATTCAATCCTTGGCCCTGAAAAATAATAAAATGAATAAATGAGTGGATGGAGGTTTCTAATTTTCATCCTATCTGTAAACCCTAGCAACTCTCCCTTCTTGTTGGGATTCTATCTGCTTCTGTTTCTGTTTGAAACTTTTTTTTAAAGAGAGAGAGAGAGAGAGAATTTTTTAATATTTATTTCTTAGTTATCGGCGGACACAACATCTTTGTTTGTATGTGGTGCTGAGGATCGAACCCGGCCGCACGCATGCCAGGCGAGCGCACTATCGCTTGAGCCACATCCCCAGCCCTCTGTTTGAAACTTTAAAATAAGCCCTGAGACTCTTCTGCACCACTGACTAATCACCTAACCACTGTCTTCCCAATCTTTCTGCAGACCCAGAGGTGACTGCTTTACCTTGCTGGCTTCTGTGCCCACTTCTATCTCCTTGCAGCCCTTGATCAATTCTGGGGACTTGGGTGTGGGGACATGTGGAGGCCTCCCTGGTTCTCTCCAGCTTCCCCTCCCACTCTCTAATGCCCAACTCCTATTCTTCTGTCCACAGTGGTTCCTGAGTACAGCTTCTGAAATTCTCTAATGGCCTTAGTGTGTGCTGTGGACATGGATAGTCTGCAGAGCTGGAATCACTTTGATGCCTCTCTAAACACACACACACACAGGAGATTGATGCCAGCGGTGCTCTACCACTGAGCTACATCCCCAGCAGTGGGTAAGGGACTGTCCCTAAAGTATGAAAAGGGACTGAAGAGAAGTGAAAGAGCTCCCCTCAACCCTGCTCACACCTGGACCCAGAGCCAAAGTGTGTGTAGGGTGAAAGGAGCCTGAGGCCAGGCCCATGCTGCCACAAGAAGGCTCAGAGTCCCTCAACAATCATGTGTTACATGCCTCTAAGTGTTGGGGAACCGCAGTGAGCAAAAAGAGATCCCTGACCTTAGGGAGTTGACATTCTATTGGGGGAAATAAACAAAAGGCCCATATTATATATGAATATTTTATGGTTTGAACTTAGCAGTGATTATACAGGTGTGTTATGTAAAAATTTATCAAGCTCTTTGTTAGGATTTGTGCATTTTACTTTGATACTTTGGTCTTAAAAAGGCAGAAAGTGGTAAATGATGTCTTATACATTTTTCCATATACCTGATAGTCTTTAAAAATCAACTTTAAGGTCTGAGTGTGCAGCTCAGTGGTAAAGTTCTTGCCTAACATTTGGGAGGCCCTGGGTTCCATCCCTAGAGCCCCTTTTAAAATGATAAGTAATTTAGAGAAAAATGAAGCAGAGACAGGAGGCGGTGTCGGGGATGGGGTGGGGGGGGGGGAGAAACTGTTGGAAACCAGGCGGTTTAAGGAAAGCCTCACTGAGGTAAAGAGCTGGAGGCAGTGAGGACTTGAGGTGAGACTGAGAGTCTCCGGTGCTCTCCCAGAGACACCCAGCTCTAGGCTGTTAGTAACCCAGATGAATTAGCACGCAACACAGAGTCTTGGCAGTAGCCCTGGACCCGGGCAAGGAGGGTTATCAGTCCTCACTAACCCATTTCGGAGGCAGGCGCGGAGGTGCGCACCTATAAGCCCAGCGTCTGGAGAAGCTGAGACTGGAGAACCTCAAATTCAATGCCACCCTTCAGGCCTGCCTCAAAATGAAAAATAAAAAGGTCTGGGTGGTGCAGCTCAGTGGCAAAGAGCCCCTGGGTTCGATTCTCAGTACAAAAAAAAAAATAAATAAAACACCAATTTCTGCAGTTTTTCAGTTATTCTGTTCAGAGAGCTGATGGGAGGTCGAGGATACCCATAAAGCTGCCTCAACAACTTTGCGCAGACGCAGCACACCCTCTTCATCAGGGCTCCGGTGATTGGCCAATCTTAGAGAAACTGCAGCCAATCAGCTGCAGGCCTAGAACGCTTCCGCGTCCCTCCCGGGACCAGATGACAGCCCACTCGGGCAGCGGCTGGGGTCACTACTGACTTCTATTCCGTGTGTCCAGCTGCGCGTAGGCGCAGTTCATTCTATTGAGCTGGAACGTGGGCGGTGATGGGGTCACCTGGCTGCGGGCTTCAGAGTTCCCAAAGTCCCGCCTCATGAGGCATCTTGGCTCTTATTTTCTTATTTATGCTTCCAGAGTAGTCGGTTTCAACATAGACATTTGCTTATTTTATATACATATTAGCACGGAACACGGTGCTACATGTGAGACCCAAGCACACTCTGGCATGCAGTCTTCAGAAGCATCCTAGCAAAGCGCCGGGTGCGGCAGCACACGCCTGTAATCCCACCTACGGGGGAGACTGTGGCAGGAAGATCTCACACCCTAGAAAAGTGGCAGCTTCAGGGTGGAGGGTCCTGGCAGACATCATCTTAACCAATTGACCATGGTTAATATCACCAGCAGTGAGTCATCGTGACATCATGAAGCCCTTGGAATGATGCACTAGGGCACATCGTCATCTTTTTGGCATCCTTCCCAGCAACGCCAAATCTTCAATCTAATCGACATAAACCAAACAAAGAGAGGTTCGACAAAATAACCGACCAGTACTTTCCAAAACTGTCAAGGTCGTTGAAGAAACCAAAGAACTGCAACATATTCGAGGAATCTAAAGACACATGACAATTAAATGCAAAGAGGCATCTTGGCTTGAATCTTGAGACATAAGTGGAAAAGGAAAAACTGAAGAAATCCGAATGAAAATATAGCAATTGTAGCAAAGTTAATTTCTTAGTTTTTATAAATTTATGATGATTATGTAAGATGTTAACATTAGGAGCAGCTGGGTGAAGTGTAAATGAGAAGTCTCTATACTATTTTTTCAGCTCCTCTATAAGTCTAAAATTATCTCAGAAAGTCTTTTTTAAAAAGAAAACCTAGGGAACAGGCACTATTGACATACCCATCTTCTAGAGAAGGGAATGGATGTGCAGAAAAGTTAAGACATCTATTCAAGGTCACACAGCCAGGAAGCAGCAGAGCAGGCTTCAAACTTGTAAGCCAGGGATCTAGAGTACTACCCCCCACCAGTCCTGGTGTCAAAGCCATTGAGTTACCACTGAGCTTCCCTTGCCCATTTTATTTTGAGACAGGGTCTCACTAAGTCAGCCAAGCTGGCCTCTAACTTGCAATCCTTCAGAGTAGCTTGGATTACAGGTGTATGCCATCACAACTGGCTGAGAGCCCCTGCATTTAAATGCAGAGCCACCTTGACTTCATTTAGTTGAAAAAAAAAAGTACTGTATATTCTGGATCCATCTTTGTCTATCTCCTTTGTCCCCTGTTGATAGACCCACAGGGTGATAAGGCCACTGTGATAAATATTCTTGCACATATTCTCGTTCTTCATATCTACATTTGTACTTCTTCATAATATTCTTTAAAAGAGGATATCGCTGATTCAGAAGTTAAGGACATTTGTCATTTTGAAAACTCTCAATAAACTGCCCACATGCCTGCATTGCCTAGTGTTACATATTCTGATTTTGCCAGTCTGAGAGTCACCAGTAAAAAAAATTTTTAAGTTTATTCGACCAGATGTTTTTTCTACCAAAAAAAAAAAAAATTCATTCAAAAGCTCAAGGTTAGATAAGGGATTGTCCAGGCTGGACAAGTTGTAGAATGGTTTTTATAGCCCCCATCATAGCCTGTGACACACCTCCCTGCCCACTCCCCCAATTGCTCTTCTAGGCAGAGGAAAAGTGAAAATGTAAAAAATCCCCATACCTCTACTGACCTCAGTCCAGAAGGTGCTGGAAAATCATGCCCTTTCCTTGTGTATGGTTAGGCATCCACATGTCAGACAGACGTGAGCTCCAGTCCCTGCTCACCCACTTTAGTCATATTTGTAAGATGTCAGGAGAGGGCAAGGGAAAAAAGGACAGGAACAGAAGAGAGTGGCATGGCTATTTTTATAAATCAGTTTTTTTAATTAAAATGTTTTTCAGTGGTGGGGATTGGATTTAGGGCTTTGCACATGTTAGGCAAGTGCTTTACCACTGAGCTACACTCCCAGCCCAAAATTAAAGTTTTGAGAAGGTAAAAAACACCCATTTTCCCCAGATGTAAACACTTAACGAACAGCTCCCTCCTGCCCACCCTCTCATGGGCAGTATAGGATTGGGGCATGCTATTGCTTTAGAGCAGGTGCTCAGCGAGGACCTCTTTGAAGAAGTGACATCTGAGCACAGACTGAATTAAGGGAGGAAGAGGCCACACAGACATCTTGCAGAGATGTGTTCCAGGTGGCAGGAACTGCCAGCACAAAGGCCCTGGGGGTGGGAACATACTTGGGGACTCTAGAAATATGGAAGCATCTGGAAGGAAGGGTATAAGCAGTGTGACCCTGGGAGAGTGGCCTGACCTCTCTGAACCTTGAGTTTCCTTACCCATGGAATAGATCTGAGAGTTTCCATTCTCAATGGGTTATGGTGAGGACTGAATGAGATTGTGCGTGGTACAGTGTCTGGTACCAACTGAGCACCCCAAAACAGAAGCCATTAGGAACAATGGCCTCTACCTGTTTTCTGGAGGGAAAAGCTAGGCCAGGAGGGAGCCAGCAAAGAGGGGCTGCACCATAAGCAGATGCAGCATAGGACTTCAACTGTCTCCCAGGATACACAGGGACAGAGATGAGCTGTATTCAAGGTTTAGGGAGTTCACTCAAGCAGAGGGGAGGCACGGGTTTTTCTTTCAGGACTGACAAGATCCCAAGATCCCACACTTCTCATTTAGATGAGAAGCTGAGGCACGAAGGGGTTGAAGCCTGGGAAATGCCAGCTGGGAGCTGGGCAGGGGGGCTGCACGTGGTGGGCACTTGGAGATGGAGCTGTCTCCGGGGGTTGGGGCCTCCGGTTGGGATCAGCCCCTTCTCTCTGCTTCCACCGCTCTCTTCCAGATAGAGAGACCATACAGCGACCTCAAGAGAGAGACACAGAATGCGTCGGAGCCCTGGAACTAAAACAGAGATGGAGAGATGGAGAGAGAATGGAGGGAGCGATGAGACAGGAGGGCAGAGACAGTGAGCCAGGCCGATTCACAGCGCCATCAGAGAGAGAGGGAGAGAGAGAGGCAAAGGCAGAGACTGAAAAAAAAAAAAATACACCTTGGCGACACAGAAGGCGACTAACAGCGACCCAGAGACGGGGATGAATCAGACAGGGCGAGAAGTACAGCGTCACAGACCGAGAATCGGAGAGGACAGACTCAGGGAGGGCTGCCCTTTCGGGAGACCCCGGGCTGCCCCGTCGGGGGCGAGCCAAGAGCTCCCCACCCCGCCCCCGTCGTGCCTGGACCGTGACTTCAGAGGCAGCGCAGATTCTATAAATGGCCAAGCGGCTGCGGGCCGGGGAGCGCGGCCCAGTGAGTCAGCGCGTGACGTCACCGCCGCCCGAACCCCCACAGGCCCCGCCCCTCCCGGGCCGCCAGGGGGCGCCGACTGCGAGCTGGGCCCAGGCACCGGTCCTCACATGCGCAGTAGTGACCTGCGGTCCTCTCAGCGAGGGCAGCAGGCAGTAATTTGCACGTTCGATTCCCAGCTGTGCCATCCTCAGCCGTGTGATCCGCACTGCGGGCTTCGCTTCTCTGTGCCTCATACAGAGCCACCTCACAGGCTGCTGTGAGGGATGAGTTAACTGAGCCAAAGCACTTAGGACATAGTAGGCGCTAACTGTCAGCTCGTTTGATGAATTTTATTGTACCTTCACTGTATGGTGACATGCCATCAACTATTTCTTAGCATGTTGCCTTAGGCCAGTGGTTCTTAAATGGGGGCGATCTGCTCCACCGCCACCCCCAGCCCCAGAGGACACTTGGCAATGTTTGTCTACATTTTGACAAGCTAAGAGGGATACTACTGGCATCTAATCAATAAAGGCCAGGGATGTTGCTTAAAAAGTCCTACAGCACCCAGGACAGCTTCCCATCACGAAGAATGATCCAGCCCTGACTGGATGCCGAGGTTGAGAAACCCTGACTTTAGCCCATAGCATTAGGGACAGGGGCCTGCATTCATTCGAATTCTCTGCTCTGCACGGTCTGGGGATGTCGCTCAGTGGTACAGTACTTGCCTAATATGTACAAGGCCCTGGGCTCCATTTCCAGACAACAATTAAAAAAAAAAAAAAAAGATTCTGAGCAGTGGTGTATGTCTATAATCCCAACAACTCTGTAGGCTGAGGCAGGAGGATCACAAGTTTGAGGCCAGTCTCTGCAACTTAGCAAGCCAAAACCCTGTTTCAAAATAAAAACATATAAAATTCTGTGGGTGTAGCTCAGTGGTAAAGTACCCCTGGGTCAATGCCTAGCACCACCAGGGGAAAAAAAGCAAAATATCTCATCAGCATGTGGCAGGTTGCTGGCATGTCATCCAAGTGTCTCTGTCGTGTCCTTGACATATGTTGCATATGACATCTACCCCTGTGGTCCAGGGGTAAGAGCTGGCCAGGCAGGGCAAGTATCCAATTAGTCTAGCCAGTCTGGGACAGGGACACAAGTGATTGTTGAAGGCCCAGGACTCACTAACAGTCAGCTCATGGTTCGAGTGACCCACAGGTGGATGGGAAGAGTAGATCCAAGATCTCTGCTCTCCTGGAGCCTTATGAGGGGCTGAAGGGGACCGAACTGGGGTGTCAGATCCTCAGTAGAAATATTACTATTGCCTGAGTTCTTCTCCTGTGCATGTTGGAGGCAGCATTTGTTCTGATCTTCACAACACTACACAAGGTAGGAGCTGTCATTAGCCCATTTTACAGATGTGGCAACAGAGGACCAGAGAGAAGGGACTTGCCTAAGGCTATATATAGACTATTGGTGTCTGGGCTAAGCTCAGGGGTGGTGCTTGCTAAACTACCAGGGATGACAGTCTTGGCTCAAGATTGGAGAGAAACAAAGGGTGATGACCTCAGAAATAAAGTGCCTCAGAGACTCAGCCAGAGACTCAGTGGACAGTGACAGGCTGGGGTGGGGGAGTAAGTTGGTCTCTGTCTGATCAAGCCCCCTTCTCAGAATAATGCAGGCTGCCCCTCTAGGTGGAAACAATGACACAATTAGCTCCCAATACCAAGGCCCTGACATCACGAGGAAGGGGGTGGCCAAGGTGGGGGGGGGGCGCCCCGCCCCTTGGCAGGCCCGTTCAGCCAATGGGACGGCCTTGGAAGAGACCCGGGCCACCTCCGGAGCTTCAAAAACGTGTGAGGAGGGAAGAGGGTGCAGACGGAGTCTCAGCTGCTGCCTCCCTGGTCCTCAGCGTCACTACTGTCCCCACCAGAGCCTTCTGGTCAACATGTCCTCTGCTCACTTCAACCGAGGCCCCGCCTACGGGCTGTCAGCTGAGGTCAAGAACAAGGTAAGACTGGCCCACACACTCTGCCAGGCCACAAGCCCCTCTCTTAGGGTTCCCTGAACCCCCTCCTGCCTATCCCATGTGACCGGGAACCTGAGACGGGAAGAGGGAGAGGTACAGGGTAGTTCTGGCTTTCTGCCTCTTGTGAACACCCCAGAGCCCTCAGATACTTTTGGGGAGTGGGATGGGGGCACCCAGCCACCTGATGGAAGTCTTTTGTCAACCTCTGGTGTTCCTGGCAGGACACAGAGGGAAGACTTGTTGATTTTTCTCACAGCCCCCAGCCTGACAAAGAAATCCAGAACCCTTGACAGCTGGTTTCCTGGGAGGTGAAGAAAGTGTGGGAGATCAGGAAGAAGATGGTTGGGGTGGAGAAGTGGGCGTCAGACCCCCCAGGGGGGTTCCTAATTGCAGTGCTAGGCAGACACCAGGATACCAAGTTCACGTTATGGATGGGCTAACTGAGGTCCCAGCTAAGGCGGGCACAGAATTGGGACTCTGAACTCACCTCCCCACCACATGCACGCCAGAATGGAGTCAGCTTCTCCAAGATAGGGCGCTTGAAGCCCCATCCCACTGGAACGCTCCCGGGGCGTCACTAGGGCAGAAGTTCCAGCCCCATTTGACAGAGGGGACCACTGAGGCTCTGGATGGTTTTTCCCAGGTCCCACAGCAAGGGAGCGGGACGGGATTAGAACCTGGGTTGCGGGACCCTC